ATTCCTTTTGTCACAGAGCTACATGCCACAATCATCTGTCACTGGCTAATCCCTGCTGCTTCTCCAGGACTTTTCAGGGTTACCTGACTTCCTCTGTCACTGATGCTCCAAGTGTGACCTGCACGGTGTTACCTGGTGCAGTCAGCATGACTGTGACTCACAACACCTGAGAAGTCAGTCCAGAAATGCCTGCCAGCTTTTCAACATGTGCACACACAGGCCATGCAGGTGGCAGGTGCCTTTCTGGGAGTTAGAGGGACTCTAAGGGACTAGAATGTTTTAAACACGTGTTGCATGGTCCTTCAGGTACCAAGGGTACCAAACATTATCCTGAGGTCTTGTGTTCTGAGATTGACAGTGGATGTAAGTCACACTTTACTCAGTGCCAGGCAGCCGTTCTTATTCTATCTGACCACAGTTACAACCTCTGTGTCAGCTGCAAACTTCATCACTCAGGATCTTATCCAGGCCATGGTTTAAAACAAAACAACACAACATTAAACAGTGCAAGACAACACCCAATCCCTGCAGAATCTCTCAGGAAAATAATTGCTTAAGGATGGTTTATCTTTTAGTTATTTTAATACTAGTGTGCTGCACTTACATCTATGTGAAATGGGTTGATTGAACCTTTTTAATCAAAGTTATTTTCTAGCCAGTCAGTTGCTTACAGAAGCAACAAAATATTTTTATTTTAGCAGTAAAACTTGCAATCTTCTTTTAGAAATACAGTGAGCACAATTATTTTCCCTAATCGCCATGTTGATTTACAATTATTATTAATATAATTATTTTTGCTTCTACTATTAAACTTCTTTAATATTTTATTAGTCTAAACCCTCTTTCTATTCTGCTCCCCCTTCTCAGGGAGCAGAGCCAAGATGAAAAGCTATCACCATCAGGTCATCTGGTCTACCTGTTTTTAATACTGGCAGAGAATTCATTTTTTACCCACTTATCTTCATATTTCTGCAATCTCAAGGCTTAATAAAAATGTAATATTTTTCTTGCCTGTCTTAAAAGAATCAGATACAGAAGAGCAATACCTACCAATTTAAAAATCTGTCAAGTTAAGAGATTCTGTTTACCACCTTCTCTGTTATTTTTGGAATGCAAAGTATGTCATCACCCCTCTGAGAAATGCGTACTTAATCCTGCTCTTTAGCCAGTATGTAACTGGATTATTTACTAAATATTTAAATCTTTTTTCATTTTTGACAATTCAGCTATTTTACACTGATGGACAATTGTCAGAGGAGCAGAACTGGATTCTCAAGGGTTGTTAAATATCAGTATCATGACTTAACCAGCAAAATAAAATGAAAAATATTTACAAGTCTTGAATGCAAAAACATAACACTTTCAGTGCTTCCTTTTTATTTTGTCTTTATGAATCTTGGATCTTGTTCCTATGCTTTACCAGCTGAGAGATAGAAATTTAATTTTATTAGTAAAAAGGTAGTGTTTTTATTTTAGTCATCTGAGTCCAGAAATAAGGGTCTTAAGAAAATAGACCAACCACCAGGAAACTCAGGAAACTCATGAAACTCACTGGCAATGCAGCATCTATCCATGTGATGAAAACTGGGAAGAGCTGTTCTTCCTTTTGAAGTGCACCTTTAGCTGGCCAGCCCTGGAATTCAGCCCAGGTACCAAACTGGAAGCCTCCCACCTCCAGCCCCTCCTTTGGCTGTTTTTTGCGGGTTGTTTGGTGAGAAGTCCACTTCAATACCTAAACTGCCTTCACACCTTGGTGCTTCCAGAGCCCAGGAGAGGGGAAACTGGACTTTTGTATTTCAACACTGCTTTCTGATGTGGGCCTGCCCTCACCACTTCCACCGTGAAGGTGCTCCACAGATGTAAATCCCTGCTGAGAGTAACTCACAGCATCCCCACCTGCTCCACAGGTAAGGAAAGGACTGTCCTCAGTAACCTGCACTGCAAGTGCATGAGAGAAACATGGTCCCCCATCGTGGTATAACCAGAGATGTTTATTAAAAGTGCACATAACTTCTATAATATTTTCACCACTGAGTTAGAATAGCATGAGCCTGGATAGCCAAAAGTATAATTATTATTAAGCTTGCTAACCAGTAATATTCATGATCAATTCCCTAATAGCAACATCAGATTTTTCTCTCAAAGATAAATGCTTATAGAAGTCCTTTCTACAAACTACCGTGCACCTGCTACTTGTTACACTTTTACAAACTTTGTAACATCTTTCCTGCCTTGACTGAATAGTCTTCTCTAACTAAATGCTCTTTGTTCTCTCAATTACAAGTTCCCTTTGTTTTATTTCCCTACACTGCACATGTAATTTTTTTTATAACTAAGAAAAAATTAATTGAATGTTTCTTCTCATCATCAGACTTAGTTTCCATCCTTGTTTAGCTGCTTCTCAAATACATAATTATCTGACTATACCAAAGATACTTCGCAACAACCTCATGAAGTTTAATAATGGCAAGCTGAATCTGAACCAGCAGTGCCCTGGCAGCCAGGAGGGCCAACCCTGTCCTGGGTGCATCAAGCACAGCATCACCAGCTGGGCAAGGGAGGGGATTGTCCCTCTCTGCTCTGAGCTGGGGCTGCCTCACCTTGAGTGCTGGGAGCGGTTCTGGGTGACACAATATAAACAAGACATTAAGCTGTTAGGGAGTGTCCGAAGAAGGGCAATGAGGATGGTGAAGGGCCTTGAGGGGAAGCCACATGAGGAGTGGGTGAAGTCACTTGGTGTGCTCAGCCTGGAGGAGACTGAGGGGAGACCACAATGCTGTCTACATGTTCCTCATGAGGGGAAGGGGAGGGGTGGGCACTGATCTCTTCACTCTCATGCCCAGTGACCAGATCTGAGGGAATGATCTGAAGGTGTCTGAGAAGCGCTAGGCTGGATATTGGAAAATGGTTTTTGACCCAGAGGGTGATTGGGCACTGGACAGGCTCCCAGGGAAGTGGTACTAAGCCTGACAGAACTCTAGAAATGTGTGGGCAACACTGTCAGGATACTTGAAGTGTCAGGAGTGGGACAGCAGTTGGACTTTGATGATCCTTGTGGATCCTTCCAACTCCAGATATTCTGTGATTCTGTTTCTGTTACTTGCTACCACTGTACTAGACATTATATATTTATACATATGCATATTTGAAGGGAAAAATTTCTCTTCAGTCTAGTGCTCAGAAATGTTCCCTATTCTCAGCACTCACCTTAAGGGTTTTATTTCTCTTGGGCAGGGAGCATCCGGGCAGGCTCCGGCCATCAGTTAAGCCCCAAGCCCCAGCAGCCCAGGGAGCAGCGCTAAAAGCTCGCTTTGGGCTCCCTCTGGTGTCGATCGCCCTGCAGAAAGCCTCCCCAGCGCAAAGCAGCCCCGGCCTCAGCAGCGGCAGCAGCACTGCTGCACCGCGGGATGCCCAGGGACTGCTCCTCGCTTGCTGGTTGGTAACGAGGTGGCGTGAAGCCTCTGCAGAGCACAGGGTATCACATCGCATTCTGGAGGCTCCGATCCTGCGAAAACCTAAATGCTCGATGCCGTGTGAAAATCCAAGTGCTCACTGGGATGCTCTGCCCTGGATGATGGCAAGAGCTGCCCCAGGCTGTGGGGACTGGCTGGCCTGCAGCCCTGCCCGACCTCGAGTGCAGCCCCTCAAAGCTATCGTACTATGGGAAAGGCACTGAGAGGCATCAAACCACAGCAGCAGAAAAGTTTACAAAAACTGCGAGGCTGGGACTTGGAAGCAGATGGTGGGGCTGGCTGGGGTCTGGTGGGCTGGGGGCAGTGTGACCCCACACAGAGCTACAGAATCAATTAGAAAATACTTGGAAAGTCTTGGAAAAGACCTTAGCAATCATCGAGCCAAACCTATGTCTGAACACGCCCATGTCACTTAGACAATGGCACTAAGGTGCCATGTCCAGTCTTGAACTCCTCCAGAGATGGTGAATCCACCAACTCCCTGGGCAGTCTGTTCCAATGTCTCCTTCTGTGAAGACTTTCTTCCTAATGTCCAACCTAAACTTCCCAGCTTCAGAGTGTATCTTCTTGTCCTGTCCCTATTTACTTGGGAGAAGAGGCTGACCCCCACCCGGCTCCACCCTCCTTTCAGGCAGTCTTGAGAGCGATGTCTCCTGAGTTCCTCCTGTTCAGGCTAAATAACCCCAGGCACACCTTGTAGCACTTGTGCTCCAGATCCATCACCACCTCTGTTGCCTTCTCCGGACACACTCCAGCACCTCAGCGTCCTCCCTGAATTTAGGGGCCCAGAATTGGACACACAACACTGGGGAGGTGTGGCCTCACTAGTGCTGAACTCACTGCCCTGGTCCTGCTGGCCACGCTACTGCTGGTACAGGCCGGGATGCATTGGCCTTCTTGGCCACCTGGGCACACTCTGGCTCACGTCCAGCCGCTACCATCCAGCACCCCCAGGTCCTTTTCTGCCCGGCAGCTTTCCAGCCCCTCTGCCCCCGGCCTGCAGCGCTGCCTGGGCTGGTTGTGACCCAAGGGCAGCACCTGGAATTTGGCCGTGTTGCACCTCACCCTGTTGGGTCTCAGCCCATCGCTCCAGCCTGCCCAGATGCCTCGGCAGGCCCTTCCCACCCTGCAGCAGACGGGCACCCCGACCCAGTCCGGTATGGCGCACGAACGCCCCTCCGGGGGCACGGGGAGCCCCGCTGCCCGCCCGCGGCCTGTGCGGGCAGTGCGGGCCGTGCGGGGCGGCGCGGGCCGCCGGGGCCGTTATCATGGCAGCGGACGGGTCCGCCGAGCCCAGCCCGGACCGGGCCGGCCCGGCCCAGGGGCAGCTGGACAACGCCGCCGAGCCCTTTGTCCGCACCGCGGGGGCCGTGAGGCGTGTTCGAACTCCGCGCTACAGCTCGGTGGGTGACACCAGCTGGCGGCGCGGCGCGGAGGTGGGCGGGAGGGAGGGAGGGCCCGCCGGCATACAGCCCTCAGGAAGTTTAACCCAACTTTCCGCTGAGTCCGCGGGGCGCCGGGGGCGGTGTCCAGGCTCGGCTTGGAGGCCGGCGGCCGCGCCGAGGTGAGGTAGGGGGAGGGCTCGGGGGGCTCTGAGCCAGCGGGGTGCAGCGGGAGCGAGTGCGGGCCTCCCGTGCGGGCAGCTGGGGTGCGGCGGGAGGCGGCGCCCGGAGCGGCTCCCTGCGGCTCAGCCCGCGCCCGCAGCTCCCCCGGAGGTGCCGGCTGGGGCTCCTCTGCGCTTCAGAGCTTGAAGCAGGGCGAAATGCCTCATCGTGAGGTACAGATGCTGTTATCGCTGTGGTATGTTTGGTGTAGTCAAAAGCCCTTCATCAGAGGGCTGAATGCCTTGACTCTCACCAGTGTTACAGCTGAAAGATTGCGCTTTGTCAACCATAGGGGGAAATAGTGGAAATGAAGCAGTAGGATGGCTGTTGGGACTGTGAGGCTACTATAGGATGCTGCTATTCACAGTTTCTTGTACTGTCTCACTTCAACTCGGTGTGCTTCTCTTCAGGTCAGCAAAACAACAACAACAGCAAGCAAAATGACAGCTGTGAGGTATGAACAAGGGATCCAGCCAAGAGAATCAACTGGGTGAGTGAAATTACTGTGCCAGCAAGGGGGCTTGGGATTGAATATGTGCTGTGTCTTTAGGTCCTTAGTGCTTAAAATACAACAAAGGGAATAATGATGGAGTGTCTGAATGTTATATAGCATAGTCTTTTTATCTCCCCTCTGCCACCAGTGCTGTTGTCTGAGAGGAGAGGTATCTTTGGGAGAAACACACTGTTTTGATTCACTTCTTGTAAGTAGTTAGTAAGTGATTAATGAGTACAAGGTCTCCATCCCTGATCTAATAAGTCCATGGTATTAATGTGTGTTCTCTTTCAGCATCCAGACTGTCAAGAGACTTACAAGAGTGTCAAGGTCTCTTGTAGAGCAAGGCTCTTTCTGTGCTCGCTTTAAAAGCCTCAAATCTGAGGTTGTGCTTGTGCTCTGTATGGAGTGTATGTGTGAAGGAAACAATTTCTTCTAATATGTCCTCCTTTTACTCTCTTCCACCCCCATAGTCAAAGCCTAATTGTAATAGCTTATGGCTGAACACTTGTTCTGTCTTGGGCAACAAGTAGATGTAGAATGATCAGCAAAACAAGCTCCCTCTAAGGAAAGCATTATCTAGAACTGAATTTTTGTGTGGGAGCACTATGGAAACAGTGTACTTGGGCTTCTGTTTTATCTTTGTGTTAAGGATTGTCTTCCTAACTGAAAACACTTTTGTTTCTCATTCTTTTTGTGGCATATTTTAATCACAGTAGAGGATAAGAAGGTAGCATTCGGTGCACATCATGTGTCTGCAAGTATAAGCAAGTGACCTGAAGCAAAATTGCTGCAGCAGTAGCAGGCTTTAATAAGTGAAGCAATTCTGCTGTTCAGTAAGTGTAAACACCCAAGTGAATATTCTGTAAGAATAGCTGGGAAGCAAACCTGAATGCCTATCCATCACTAAAGCTTTGCTTCAGCTCTAGGAACAAAATGAGGCAGGTTTCATGGGAAACACTGGAGCTAGGAAATGAGGCTTGAATGCTAAAATTGCTACATCAGAATAATTCTCCTCTGAGCCTGATAGAGAGTGCAAGTGGTGGAGCATGAGTACTGGCTTCTGAAACTAGGAGCTAGGAATGATGCTAGGAGAAGCATTATTAAACTTCTTGCTTGAAAGGTGGTGAGCCCAGACTGCAGCAGCAGTGCTGGTGCATGGGTCTGTTGTGGAGGATGAAGGATATTTGAATCCTCAAAATTATTACACTAATGCTTCAAACATGCTAGGCTGCCTCAGAACAGAATGGAAACATCAATTTTGAATGTGTGTGTGTAGCTGTTCCTGCCCATGAAGCTGTGAAACCAGAGGCAGGGCCTCAGCAAACACTGTGGCTGTGCTATTATGCATCACAGTATTTCTGTGGAGAAGACTGAAATAAGGCTCCTGGATTTTGATGCTATACTTTTTCTCTGAAATTGTCATGTGGCCTTCAAAAAAGCAAAAACTTGATCTGAAGAGACCCTTTTAAGGAAGTTATGGCAAGCAGCCACTCCCCAAAAAAACTGCTATTCTAGCACTAGCTCAGCTGCTGCTCTGGTCTTCCAGTTTCCTGTCTGGTATCCTGCTCTGTGCAAAAACATCTCTATGGTATGGCTTTTCCTGGTGAAAACATTAATTCTCTGTACAAGAAGGTCACTGTAACATTATTAATGTCACTTGGACTCTCTGAAGCCATTTTGCATATGCATCTTTCTGGCATTTCTAGAGCCTGAACTGTTGAGTCCTTAGCAGACTCATGGATGCCCTGCTTCAAAGCCCTTTATCCTACTGCTGAACTCATCTGTCTCTTTTGAGGGGGAAAAGGGAAAACTTTTGAGAAAAGGGCTGCTAATAGGAAATAGATCAGCACTAATCAAGGGGTTCAGCTTTGCCAATATGGGGGAAGTCTGTGCTGGGCCTGTGCTCTGGCTCAGGCTGCTGTTCACTTGACAGTTAATTCTTTTTTTTGGAACAACAAATCTTAGCAATGTACAGAGTTGACACCTCTATCAGTGTGTGACTTGTATTATTTCTTTGCCAGCTCTGCAACAACTGAAGAGGCCACAGTAAAGATTGATAACGGTCGTGATGAGAGTAATGAACCAGACAGCTGCTCCAAGTAAGCTAATGATAGATCAATTTCTTTGCTTACCCCCAGAAGTGGAATCTGATGAGCCAAAATAAGAAGGCAGGTGGCTTGTTAAAGTACAGATAAGCCCAGTAAAATGCTTAATATTGACATTTCTTCTAGTACATAGTGAAGACAAATAAATTGTGGAAGCCTCTTTATCCCTCTAGAGATAAAAGTCCAACCCAAGAACACAAGTCCATCATATTATGGAGAATGGGTAGTCCACATCACATTGATTAAATTTTCCCAAAGGAATGACTTTGTGGGAGCACAGAAGAACAAGTGCTGGTGAGACAATGAGGTGAATGAGAACCTGAGCATAAGAATAAGCATTGTGGCACACATCAAGACTAAGTTGTCTGAACCTGCAAGTAGTTATCTCTGTTCTTGAAACAGTTGTTTCCTGACAGTGTTTACCTCACATTACTCTTACAGCAAACTTAGTCGAGTCAGTGGCAAGTCCTGCAGCTCAGTAACAGTAAGCCTAAGCCTGTTATTTCAGTTATTCTAGGTGACAACATGTTTTTCTAGATTTCAGAATTTACAAATGTATTTTACTGAAGCTCTAAGCTAATTATGTAATCAAATGTGCCATGTTTCCTTCAACTGATTTAAGATGTTGGCAGGCCAAATTGGAGTGGTGTGTGTATATATTTTGGTCTGTAGTGTACCTAGTTAGAGGTACTTGTCCACAGACTGTGGGAGTTGAAGTCTTGGTGTCCCCACTACAGTTGTAGGTTTGACTGGACAGACATAGACCAGCAAACCATTAGTGTCTTATTGCAATGTTTCCTTAGATATTCATTCATTCATTTTCCTGGCATTCATAAATAGCAGGAAAACCCTTCTATATGTTAAGCTGCCTTCAGGACAAGACATGTCATTACATACTTGACTTCTGTAGGAATAGTGAGTACTATAACCCACGTGTCTACCTCCAGCTTAAGAATGCAAATGTTTGCTGGTTAGACCTTGTACCTTAGTTTAGAGTAAGAACCTAATAATGAAAAATGTGGGTTAATTCAGTAACCTCAGCAAGATGCTGCCTCAGCACTTCAAAGGTACCTAGCCTCCTTGTCTTAAACTGAGTTATTGAAGTGCACCAAATCTATCAGTACTTTTTGTCAGTATGTTAGAACTAATGGAAGTCCTGCTGTTAGTGATATGCTTGTAAAAAGGTGTTTTCTTCTAAGTGTCTAAGAAAAGACTTGATGCTTACAGTAGCTATCTTGGGATTGCTTAACAGACAGGCAGTCTGTTTTTTCACTCTCAGCACTTGAGTTTTGCAGGTTCTACACCAAGAACTTCTACCTTAGTTCTTGGTGTAATCTAAAGAGGCTTTGAGCCAGAAAGAGTTACATAAAAGCTTTGTTCTAAACCAAAGGGCTTAAAGCATACCAAAGAGGCAACAAAATCTACTGTAATTGGGAACAAGAGCTGTGACCTTGCCAGGACTGAAGATAATTCTCACAACTGGAAGAACTTGGCTTCAGAAACACTTTTTCTTAGAAGATTATTTGGATTTTCAATCTGAAAGCCAAACTGATGTTTCTTTTTTAAAGTAGAAGTGGGATTTCTATTCCTCTTTTCCAAAGGCATGGGAGCCGTTAACAAGTGCAGCTCTTTTCAGGCCTGCGAAAAAAAATGGTCTGATACAATAAGCTAATATATGGAACGAAATATATTGAGAGATGTTTGTCTTCCAGTCTTCCTTTTGACCAATATAAACCCACTTCTTGTAACTTACTAAGCCAGAGTTCAAGTGTCACTGGAATTGTGACATGGAATAATGTTATGGATAAGTACATACTGCTGTATTTCTAGGGTCTGGAAGCTGATGAATACGTTTTCTAACAAGTGATCAAAGCACTGTTTTCAAGTACTCTCTTAACCTATATACTTCATGAATGCAACTGAGTAATCTCATTTTAGAGAAGCTACTACTGTGCAGAATACTAAAACTAAAGGAATGTGAACAAAAGAATGTAACAGTGCACTTGTGGCTGATGTCTATAGCAAAATGTCACTTGTCTTGATGTCAGTTCTCTTCTCTTGCAGTGCAACTAGAAGAAAAATTGCCCCGTTTGTGATGTCATTCGGATTCAGGTAAAAGCTTGAGCTTGTAATGATGTGGGAAAGGTAAAAATAGTCCTCATTTCTGGTGTAAGAACTTAAGAACCCATAAACATCAGTAACTCCAGCTTGCTTTGTCTGAAAGTACTGAATCCTTTGTCACTCCCAGGAAAGGTAACTTGAGAAAAGTACTGGAATTGAAAAATAAGACTTAAACAGATACGGCTACATTCTCCAAGAAGAGCTGAAAGTCAGAACTGTAAATGTCATTGTCTTGGATAAAACCTTTTTAATGGCTTATTCTTGCTGGCACCTTTGAGCAAACAGTTGGTCAGTTGTGTGTAGTCTAGGTGCTGGGACAAGGCAAGCCATTAAAGACAGGTATTTTTAAGGGACTATATTAAGTCGTGAGAGGAAGGGAAGCTGAGTAAGGTGAAAGCAGAAATGATACTTGTATGCCTTAAATCTTTCAGGTTTGCACTGCTTGCTTCTAGGTTGATGTGAAATCATAAACTAATAACTACAGTTGTGTCTGAGATAAATGTATGGTTCCACAGAGATGATGGCCTCTGTGCATATCACTTAAAAATGCAGCTGGAAACCTTCAGCTTCTAATTAAGCAGGCTTCAATCTATGTAAGAGATTACACTCTTGCTGGAACAGCTTAGAAATCAGGGTTTGTGCTGTTCAGATAAGTGTTCATTCCTACCTCTCAAACTTCCTTGTATTTTTCTCTTTGCAGAGTATTTGGAGTTGTACTTATCATTGTGGACATTATAGTTGTGATCCTGGATCTGGCTATCAGTGAGAGGAAGAAGGGTACAGAGATTCCTGAAGGTGTTTCCCTGGCAATAGCACTCTTCTTTCTCATCGATGTTTTCCTGAGGGTGTTTGTTGAAGGGTAAGACATAGGCAAAAGTCAAGTCCATGTGGCAAATCCTCAAGCTAGGAAGGAAGCAAAACTTCAAGCTTGAACTATGAACGTGGTGTCCTGTAAGCTGATTGTCTGGCCATAGATAATAGCCACATCTTTTCTTGGCTGTGTATGTTGGTGGCTACCCTTCTATAGAACAACCTTTAAGTATTTTCAGTATAAGTGAGCACCTGGGAGCTACACAGCTTTGCCATAACTTGTGTGTAAATCAGGGCTAAGATTGCTTCCTTAGTGAGACTTCAGTGCTTAGTGTTAAGAAAAACTGCAGGAGAGCTTGTCTCGAGCAGTAGCTCTGTATAGATTGTTCTCTTCTTGGAGATATATTTCAGTCTTTGCTACCTGTAATGGCATCTGTCTAAAACTATCCTTGGTTTCAGCTTCAGGAACTATTTCCAGTCCAAACTGAATATTTTGGATGCATGTATAGTGGTGGGCACCCTGTTAATTAATTTGACATACTGCTTCTTAGATGTTGATGCAGCAAAGGAGATACCAAGGTAAGAGTGGTATGGCAGCTGGTAAGTGTGAGCTCTTATCTTGATAATCTTCTAAGAATTTTCTTGGGCACCTTTAAGCCAGATTTGTGCATTTGAGATCACAGATGGGACTGTGGGATGGGATAGTTTGTCATGGTGCAGACCAATGAAGGATAGACAGGCAGCTTTCATCAGTGGTTGTGTTGTAGGCTGTCCCTGCCTCAAAGGCAGAGGGGATCTGAACATACTAGTTGAGGTAACTAGAAGTGGGGCCATCAAATGCTCTGACTCAGCACTTTTTGGGAAAGGTGTGCTGTAGCCTTAAGAGAGGAGGGTCTGAAGAAGGCAGAAAGAGTTGCATTATTGTAGCAAATGGAAGGGACAGCAAAGGGAGGATCTCTGTCTAAAGGATCTTGAGAGAAAGAGTTGCCAAACTGTCTTGTTTCCTTTGCTTTGCTTTCCCAAAAGCCTCATGGTAATATAATGCTGGATTTTTCAGCCATGCTCTGAGGAGAGGAGCCATGCTGTTTATATGCATAAGCTACTTCAAGTCCTATTTCCTTCTGATTTCTGTATCTTGATCAGATGATAACCTGTGAGATGAATCTATTCCTGATGGAGACAGAACTACAACTTTAAGATGAGTTTATCTGCGCTAGATTTGACTTACAGAAACTTTCTTGCATTAGCCAGGGAAAAGTTGAGCTCTTTAAAAAAAAGTCATCCCCTGCCCCAAATTCAGCTGACTAATGGGCATAAGTAGGGAACATTTCTTCTGGAACATTATTCCAAAAGGAAAGAAAAAATTTATTGAAGAAAAAAAGTTATTGAAGAATCTAGAGTTGGACAAATACTTGTAAGTAATAGTTTTCTATTAAAGTGCTTGCTAAACCTGGATATCAAGAAGTAAAACTGTCAAAGGAGTGGCTTTTGCAGCCTAGTTTCCTCTTAGGTTGTCTTAAACAGTCATTGGAGGTTTTAATTATTACTTTCCATTTCTATGGCCACATTTTTCTAAAACAGCTTTCATCTTATAGCAGCACCCAGATAAAGGAGGGGAAAAGAGCAGTGTGACTGGGTTATTTGCACTCTTATCTGTACTAGGCTATGCTAGTAGTAGGCCTGATCCTACACTGGCTGTAGATCTGTGTGTGCAAGTGCTTTGTATTCTGACTTGCTGAAGTTGATGGGAATCTGGAATAGGTTTTTGGCTCACATGAAGAGGACTTCACACTGCTGCTCTCAGAAGACACTCAGCTGGGGCCTACCATCTTACCCATTCAATTTTTGAGGCCCTCTGTAAGGCTTCCCTTGTTAAAGGCTCTAAAATGGTGTTCTGACCAAAATATTGCTACCTGACTGTAGATGATACCTCAGGTTTGACCAAATCCCAAATCTTTGGATGGTGTTCATCCCACCTAACACAGCAGTAGTGTCAACAAAATCCAATTAATTCTCTGCAGCCTTACTGGGTTTTATCACTTTTCTTTCCTGAGTCCTTCATCAAGAAGCAAACAGTAATCCTAAAGCATCTGATATATCTCAGAAGAATTAGAATTTGAGCAGCTTTTTTGTGGATAAGAGCTTATATACAAGTGAAATTTCAGTGACAGACCATAATGTGCCCTGATGGAGTAATATAGCTTCTCTTTCTAATCTGGTCTAGCTGGGTGTGTGTAGGGGTGAGTTAACTGTTTTCTTGAAGTCTGACCTATAAAAGGACTTTGAGGAATGAGAGCTGGATATCAGTCTGGGAGCTAATGCTTAACAGGCTGACTTCCTTAAGGGCCTTTTATCTTGAAGAGTTGCTTCTCAGAGTTGTGGGGAGAGGGGTTATGGAGGTTTCACCCCAGTTTTGGTTCATCTCATTTGCTGCTAGCTCCAAGGAAATTCTGTTTTGAAAACTGGAGGGTGATAGTGAATTTGGCAGAAGCTCAGGGAAAAACCGAAACTTTCCTCCAGGTATTCAGGACGACCTTACCTTGCTGACTTTAAGCTCCGTATCAGTGGGGGGCAGACTGTGAGCAAAACTGGAATTTTGTCTCCCTTATTCACCAGCATTTTTACACAAATGTATCAAAACCTAGAATGTGTGTGTGCTGCCTAAAATGTATGCTCACTTACCTCCTTAAGGAATGAATTGAATGTTAGTTTGCCCTGAACAAACCCCCTAGGAGTGTGGGAAAGCAGCTGCTCCTGTTCAGTTGTTTTGATAGAACCGCTCACCTAAGCTTCTTTCCTGCTTCAAAGTTCAACAATAGTTCAAAGTTCCTCAAACCAAACCAAGTGTTCAGCTTGCTGAATGATTAAACACAGGATATGAACTGATTGGTTCTCAGGTTTCTTAATCAAGTCATGATGTACTTAGCCTGTCTAGCCTATTTTTAGTTATTTTTCTGGTGGCTACATATGCTTTAGTGGGGCTGCAGACACTTAAATATATAGTTAAGAATAAGCTTCAAGGAACAAAAACTTGGTGATAATAACATGGATAATGTTAATGGAATTTGTTGCTTTCTAGCCAGAGGTGCCTGTGGAAGTAGGGGATTTCCTAGTTCTGCTAGCTGTTGAGAACATGTACTTGCAAAAAAAACGTTAACAATAAACCCATTATATTGTATTTGTTCCAAAATCAGCCTGAGATGTCCTAGTTCAACATATGAAACAAAGTTTTAAACTTTCCCTGAAACAGCTTTTAAACAGCTTTAATCTTTGCCTGTAAGTTTATTTGTGTCCATTTTCTTCTGTGCTGAATCTGTCCTCTAGAATGGTTATTTTCCTCCGAATCCTGAGAATTGTCATCTTGATAAGAATATTTCGTCTGGCTTCGCAAAAGGAGCAACTTGAAAAGGTGACCAGGAGAATGGTAAGTTGGCCTCTTAGCAGCATATCTAGGCTACTTAATAGTAGTTTCCAGCTCTTTGTTCAGGCAGCATCAGTGGTAAGTAGCAAGACTGACCATGGCCTATTGGTCTGCTATTGCTGGTGTTGCCCCAGCAGCACATCTGTTCCATGTCCCTGACAGGGCTCTGGAGCTTTGCCCCCAGCCTCAGTAAAGCCTTGTCATTCTTGGCTTTGTTCAAGTAAGCAGCAACTTGACCTGGCATGTCAAAGTGATTGCAACACCCCGTGTGTCTAAACTGACAGTTTCTAGCTTGTGTGGCACATAGACTGTTTTCCCTCACATGGGGGAAGGTAAGAGTTTTCTGATGCTTTGAGTACAAACAAAGCAATCTAGCTGAAGCCCTATCCACTGTCAATGCCTCTTATTTTCATCAGGGGCATTGAAGTTGTGCTTTAAGCTTCAGGTATGTCATATTGTTTATGAAGAAGCAATCCTAAACTTTATTCTTTTTCCCCCAGTTTTCAAACAGTCAAATAACAATGACAGATTCATGCTGCAGTATTCACAGAATCTGCAGTGTTCTTTTTACTAGAATAAATTTGGTATTTAAGGGTAAAAATTCTATACAGAGCTTCTACCTAGAAGTTAATACAAGAATTTGCTCTTGGATAATGCTGTAGTGAAGTGAGGCTCTGCTACTCAAGCTTAACTGGAGAGTCTACATGGTTGAATTTTCCTAGTAACAGTCAAAAATTGGTGATCATTGGTATTCTTGTGGAAGATTAACTCTTTTTCTTTTTTTCTCTTTTTTTGTCAGGTCTCTGAAAACAAAAGACGTTATATGAAAGATGGCTTTGATCTGGATCTCACTTATATTACTGGTTTGTGGAAACAAATGTCACTTTGCAGCATGTTATGTCCTGTAAAGACTTGTTTTACAGTTAATAAGAGCTTGTCATGAATTACAGACAATGTTTTAGACTCATGAAATTTAAGTATGAAGTCAAACCAGGCCTCTCCTTTCCTGTGGGATTTTGAAATATGGATTCCTGACTGACACTATTCTCCAGAATTAGCCTTCTGGGAGAGTTGTACATGCTGTATGTAATGATAGAAATTTATCCTAGTTTCCTAGGCCTAGGTAACCAGTGTTGGGAAACTACTTACAGTATTTTTGCTTCTGATTCTTTGGAGACTGACACTTGATGGTGGCTGATGCTTTGGGAAGCATTATTTGTCTTGCTCTAGCTATGCTAAATGTAGAGGAAAGTCTACCAGAAATGGGTAGATTGTTCTTATAATTAAGGTAAGAATGAGACATTTCATAAGGATGTTTCTCAGTCATGTAGTTCTTATGTGCAGGGGGGCTTCCTGCTGTTACTTGTGATTGCTGTCTTCTCAACAGATCGAATTATTGCAATGTCATTTCCATCTTCTGGGAAGCAGTCTTTCTACAGGAATCCCATAAAGGTAAAAATCTTACCTACCAAATTCACTGTTTCTGAAACCTGTTTCTTTTATAGGTTCCCACTAATTTACATGTGGCCTAGATTATGTCAGTCCTAGTTTTGCTGCCTTTGCTGGTTGGAATGACTGGTGATCTGCACTGTGCTGCACTGCTTATGTTTTAGTGTCTCAGCTAAACCTAGTGGTTTTCTCTCACTGGGGACGCACCAGTGCTTTGATGCTCCTGTTCTTTGGGAATGTTTTGAAGAATCAAGGTAGTTCTGTCCCAGGCTAGTAATGGTGATAAGATCTATTCACCTAAATAAAGTTGCTTTAAAGGTCCGTAGACATAATGTCCTTTTCAGAGCTCTGCTTCCTGGTATTGTAGAAACATATATAGGGCCAGGAAGATAGCTGCAGGAGTACTTTTATTCCAGATGAGAATGAGCTGCCAGGTTGGAAAGGCCTGCTTTCCAAGTGCTTTTCATGAATGCAGTTGTTGATCCTCCCTGGGGGGTGGAGGGTTGAGGTGGCAGTGGACATAACAAGTAGAGCACTAACTACTCTAAACTCATTATTGCTTAGGAAGTTGCAAGATTTTTGGACACCAAACATCCAGGCCACTATAAAGTCTATAATCTCTGCAGTAAGTATGTTTAGCTGCTGACTATATTTGAGATAAAATTTAATGTATAACTGAAAAGTATGAAACCAGAAGCTAAGCATGCATGGCCTTAGCCAAGTTACCTCTGGTTTTTTCATTCTAATGTCTATTAACAGTACTGTATTTTAGACACTAGTACATGCTCAGACCAGCCCTTTTGTGTCACAAACTACTTTCTTTGCTACAATCCTTCTCCCTTCCTGGCATAACTTCAGAGCTTTCCCTATAGGTGAACAAGGCTACGACCCCAAGTACTTTCACTACAGGGTGGAAAGGATCTTCATTGATGACCACAATGTCCCAGCACTACAGTGAGTCTTGTAAGAAATACATACCTTGTAAGAGTTCTATGTAGGCATTTGCCTTGATCCACTGACTTTCCTCTTATTTAGGGACATGCTGAAATTCACTGCCAGTGTCCGTGAATGGATGAGTCAGGATGAGAAGAATGTTATAGCAATTCACTGTAAAGGGGGCAAAGGTAGGATTTTTCATGAGCAATCTGTGTATGCTACAAATCATACTTCTTTGTTATTGTAGCTTCTTTGATTAAAGTTTGGCCTTAAACCATACTATGAGATGGGTTTACGATGTAATGTGACAAATACTGCAGACACTGTGATGACTAGCATGACTACAATACTCTGTTTAGCATTAAACAACCTCATTTTTAGGTAGTCTAAATTGGTTCTTAGTCTAAGCTGTTAATATGTCTCCTAATGTTCTAAATGTTCTTCAATAACTTTTTGGTGTTCTGGTAGCTGGGACAGCAGTCCCCCACAAGAGAGTGGTGATAGGGAGGCTACAGAAATTGCTACTATTAAAAGTGTTAGGCTGTTGCTTTGGCTTCTGGTAGCCAGTCACCCATGCTGAATATTGTGCACTGTAACGTGGCTCAAACTATTTATTATTTAGGTTGGAAAAAGGCCTTTAAGATCAAGTCCAACTATTAATCCAGTACTACCAGATGTACCACTAAACTGTATCTCTCAGTGCCACATCTGCACATCTCCAGGAATACCTCTGGGAGTGGTGATTTGGCCACTTTCCAGGGCAGCCTGTTCCAGTGCTTGATGACCCTGTTGGAGAATAAATTTTTCTTAATATCCAATCTAAATCTTCTCTGGGACAACCTGAGGCCATTTCCTCTCCTCCTATCACTTGTTACTTGATGGAAGAGACCAGCCCCACTTCACTCTGACCTTTACAGTGAAAAGGTTTCCTCTGAGCCTCCTTTTCTCTATGCTAAACACTCTCAGCTCTCTCAGCTGCTTCTTGAAGTCTTGTGCTCCAAACCCTTCCCCAGCTCTGTTGCCCTTCTCTGGACACACTTAATGTCTTTCTTGCTGTGAGGGGCCCAAAACTTAATGCAGGATTCAAGGTACAACCTCTCCAGTGGCAAGCATAGAGGGACAATCACTGCCTTGGTCCTGCTGGCCAGAATATTGCTGATACAGCCCAGGATGCCATTGGCCTACCTGGCCACCCTCTGATTCATGTTCAGCTGCTGTCAACCATCACTCTCAAGCCTTTTTCCAGTGGGCTTCTTTTCAGCCAATATTCCCTGAGCCTGTAGCATTCTGTGGGGTTGTTGTGACCCAAGTGCAGGTCCCAGCCCTTCACTTTATTGAACCTCATACAGTTGGCCTTGGTCCATTGATCCAGCCTGTCCCTGCCCTCCAGCAGATGAACACTCCCACTCAACTTGGTGTCTTCTTCAAACTGACTGAGGGTGCACTCAGTTCCCTTGCCCAGATTGTTGGTAAAGACATTAAACAGAGCTGGCCTCCATCCTGTGCGCTGGGATCACCACTAGTGACCAGCTGCCACCTGCATGTACCTGCATCCACCTCGATTCTCTGGGCCTGGCCTCCAGACAGGTTTTTACCCAGTAGAGAGTGCACCTGTCCAAGCCATGAGCAGCCAGTTTCTCCAGGACAATGCTCTGGGAGATGGTGTCAAAGGCTTTACTAAAGCCCAAGCAGACAACATCCACAGCCTTTCCCTCATCCATTAAATGGGTCACCATCTCACTGAAGGAGTTCTTGTTGATCAAGCCAGACCTGCCCTTCATAAATCCATGTTGGCTGGGCCTGATCCCTGGTTGTGTTGTGTTTGTTGTGTGATACCACTCAAAATGGTCTGCTCCATAACGTTACCTCTCTAGAATGTTCCAGGTACTGCTGGATCTTAAATCAAGATACACATGATATTAGGTGATAGAGTACAATGAAGTTTTATAGAAACAAGAATAGTGAAAGCTACCAAACATATGAGCTAACCTGCAGGTGCTACCTGAACCAGCAGTGGTGTGGGAGCTGCTGAAATGCATAAATATCTGCAAGTAAGCCAAGTTTCCTTGCAAATATCTGCCACACCTTTAGCCACCTGCTGTTACTACTGCAGCAAATACTTGGCTTAAAAGTAGGTGGTTACTTAACATTAAATAGTTGCCCCCAGGTGGAGCTCTGTCTTAAAAGGTTTTGCAAAACTGAATGTTGAAATTACCTGCAGGTCAAAACCAGCTTGAAGAACAAGTGTGGGGAGGGCGACTTCACCTCTGAGATTTTTAAATGAAGAACCGAAACTATATTGGCATCTTCATGCTAGCAGACTTGATGGCTTCTCAGTAGGGTTGCAGGGGAAACAGTTGGGGCAGAGAGACAACTCTTGACACTTACAGCATTACACTTACAACTATAAACACTTTAAAGTTTCAGCTTATAGCCTCATTTAGTAGAGCTTGACTATTTCCTGCTGGAGTATGCAGATACTGACCAGCTGCCTAAGTGTCTCTAGTAATGAAAATGTGGGGACAAGGAACAAGTTGATACCATAAACAATACTACATACTGTGGTATCTTGTCTTTAACTTACTCTTCTCAGAAATACTTGACTACTTGTTTGTCACTTATAACTCTTGAAATAGATAACGGGAGATGACTTCACAAAAATAATCCCGAGTACCTTTGAACTGCTCTAATTTAACTTGCATTGTATGTCTAATACAGGCAGGACTGGAACAATGGTCTGTACTTGGCTCATAGACAGTGACCAGTTTGAGAGCGCAAAGGTAAAAACTGCTGGGGTTTTTTTTATTTGTTTAGTATTCAAAATGTCCTCTTAGGATTTACTGAATTGGTGAAATACACTAATACCATGCAAAAATTCTATACTAGAAAAAGAATTCTCTGAAAAGTCTGGTTTTAAAAAAGTTCATGAAAGTCTTGCTGCAGTGTAAATTCTGATGGAGACTATTTGTGATCTGAAAGGAGTGAGAAAATAGCACTTAACAGGTCACCAACTTGAAGGGGTTTTTTTTTGAGGAATAATGTGTCTAGGGTATTGAGCAACATCTTAAGCTGTAGGTGACTTCTGAGCAAACTCTCCCAAAGATAGTATCACTAGTTTTAAGTGGTTTTAAGAAATTTTTTTTCCTAGTCTCCCTCCAAGTAGTTTGAGGCATCAAGAATTGTCTTGTTTTGACAGCCAGCATTACAAAAGGAAGCTCTTCTAGGAAAAGGGAGAAAGATCAAGTCCCAGCCGGGACAGGTGCTGATGCTGCTTTAGTGTCCCAGGTCTGATATATCAGCTGGAGGCTGGGGATGCAGAAGGCCCAGGACACTCAAGGTAGTCTGGGCAGACTGTATATCCATTTAATCACTTGTTTTCCTCTGAGTTTGCTTTGTGAAGATATGAGCTAGTGTTCAGCTTGGTCTGCCACACACCACTTGAGAAATATAAATGGTTCTAAAGCAATTGCTTGAAAGTTTTGTATTGCTCTCCTTCGCTCTTTCATGAATGACAGATTTATGTGTCTGACCTCCTAATTAGTACCTTCTTCTTGGAGTTAAAAGTCTCCTTTAGAAGGTACCAAAATAATGATTGCATATTTCCACTTGCATTCCTTTACTGGACTTTAGTAGTGTAGTTCCAGTTTAATATCTGCTTCTCAGGAAGGAGAATGGTGGTGGGATGGATAGTTTAACCCTTGAAATTATTATTCTGTGTAGGAAAGTTTGGACTACTTTGGGGAGAGGAGAACTGATAGAAGCACAAGTACCAAGTTTCAAGGAGTTGAAACACCCTCACAGGTAAGCTCATGCAGGTTCAGAGAAGTAGTCAAACCAATATTAACCCTGTGAGTGCTTTTGCTGCCCTACCTCCCCTGCCTTGTTTCAGAGATGTAGGTTCCTATTACCTGCTTAACTCCTGAACTTTCTGTACTCTTTCTTTGAGAGTTGGAATATGAACAGCTGACAGGATTGCCCTGTTTGGTAGCTTTCACTATCTTTCCCCTTCCCCTTATACCTTTCTCTGATCTGAAGTATAGTATCTAGGATAACAACAGAATTCTTGAGATTGGGAAAGCTTTCTGTCCAGCCTTGCTATTCAAGCAGTGTGACCTGGACAGTTGTGTCTGGTCAGGTCCAGAATATGTGCACAGATGCAGATTCCACAGCATGTCTGGGCACCCTCACAGGAGTGGGACTCTGTGAGGCGATTGGACCTGCTAACAAGGATGCACAGAAGCCTGTGGTGGGCCTGGGATGGGGCCATGGCACTGATTTGGCTTGTGTGGAGAAATGCGTCTTTTGGAGACTGCATTCACTGGGAAATACTACACAAGTTTGTGCCTCAGACCACATTTTTGCACATCTTGATTTACTGTTCTGCGTGATGCAGAGTTGGGAAGTGAATCTTGTGATGGGTACTTAAAATTGCTGGTATAAAATAGAAGTATAGCTGTCCTTCAATAAAATGAAAATTTCTAGTATGTTTAAACATTTGGCCTCGTAAGGCTACAGTATAAAATATCCTCACTTCTTGCTGAACTAAAAAGTACAGAATTCCTCTTAAAACATGAAATTTAAATGGTGTTTAAAAATGTAGATGTTGAATTTGTCTAGAAGTTTGTTTCTGCAGGGAAAGGGAAGGAGAGTAATTGTCTTTCTTCTTAGCTTTGGACTTTGAAGAGCTAAAAACTTGGTGTAAAAGAAGCTATTTAAATCCTGCTTCCACCTAGAATTAATCCATGATGGGTACAGAAACTGCATAATGTGTCTGGGTTTTTTGCATTACAGAGTAGGTATGTTGGGTATTATGAGATCCTGAAAAACAAGTATAACTTGGAACTCCCACCAGAGAGACTACTCAAAATAAAAAACATCAAAATCCACACTATACATGGTAAGAACTCTTGTATTTGGGCATTGCTCTATCTGGTAATGGTTTCCTATTACAGGCAGCTGATAACTGTCTCTCTTGCTAAGCCCATGATTGGAATGTAGACTTAGTGGGATTTGAGAATTTAAATGACACAGAACACAATGAAGAGTATTTTGTAGTCAGTTGCTCTGTGTTATGTCACTTTCTAGATGTCTGACCAAATGATGGCTTACATACAACCTGCCCTCTTTTGGAAAGGGAATAATTTTTTCAGTGAGACTAACTCCTGGTGTGGAACTGGATCCACTAATGTTTCTGTGCTTTAGATACATGCCTGTTACAGTGCATGTGTGCTGATAATCTTGATCAAAGGCTGGAAGTTCATCACTCCTTGTTCCAGGGGTGTTCAAATTGCTGTTATTGTTCAGTAAATGGAACTAGATTTTACATTAGCCTGTTCCCCTAGGGGGAGGAACTTCAAAATGTAATTTTCAGCCACTGAATCCTTTCACTTACCTTTAGCCTTTGATTTCTCTAGAGTCTTGAGCAAGGCATTCTGGAAAGAATGCAGTTTTGAATGGGATTGCAATTGGTTTTCATGACTACTTATGTTTCCAGCTAATGTCTGTGCCTCTGGTATAATGCAACACTTTGTTCCTAGGAGTTGGGAAAGGCAATGGAACTGATATGAAGGTGCAGATAATAACAAGGAAGAGAATTGTACTACAATGTGTATGTGGCAATCAAAACAACTGCAGGGTGAGTACTATGAAGACACACAAGTTGAGTCACAGAAGCTAAAAGCTGATTTCTAGGTTAAAAGTGTCTTAGTTTTGTCCAATATTAAATTTCTACCTAGTCTAACTAAATGGATGATGTAAATTCCAAGAGGACAAAAAAGCTGAACTTTGCCAAATCTTAGGAAATGTAGTGGTGAGATAGTGAAAGATTTCCCTGGGAGTCCTTTAAATGCAAATAGTTCACTCTGTCCTGAGCAGCTTAAACTGTTGTCTGTTATTCTAGCACTGCTGTTGTATTTGTGTACCATGAATGAGTAGTTAGGTCTTGTCATGAATTGGTCCCTTGTCTTGCTGCAGAAACTTTCATAAAACAAATTCTTTATTCTGTTATCCAGCTTTTCTTTGATTCTGAAAGTGACACTGTAGTCATTGGCTTGGAAGACTGCCCTGTTCTAAGTGGTGATGTGAAAGTCAGATTTGAATGCAATTCTGTAAGTACACCAGTGTGAGTGAAGACCTTCAGTTGGGTGTGGGGAGAGGCTGCAGTGCAAGCTGCAGTGGGTCCTGCCTGGCTGGGCAGCAGGGGCAGAATCTGTTCCTTCCCAGTGACTCCTGCTGTGTGTCACTGTGCAGTGAGGGGTGAAGCAAGTGCTGTAATATCAGCCTAGGCAAGCAGGGGAAGCACCTGGCTGCTCAAACAGCAGTACAGCCAAGGCATTTTAGTTGGTACCTGCTGCTCCTGACCATGTGAATCTCACCTCGTTGTATTGAATGACTTGATACTGAAATAATTGCAGAGAAAATAGTGATCTGTGTATGATATGGGGCTCTTCAAGTGTACTGATTCTGACACTGTAGCTTTTTAAACCAAATTAGTGAAGAAAAGTGGGTACCCTTGCTCTACAAACCAAAGTTCTGTTGTGTAACACAGTCCTTAAACAAGGTGTTTGTGTTTAGGCTCTTCCAAAAGGCTATGATGGGTGCCCATTCTTTTTCTGGTTCAACACTTCCTTTATTGAAAATAACAGGTAAGGATATTAGTGAATGCCTTCAGATCCTAACTTCTGGTGTCTTATAGAGCTGAAAGATCATAAACATAGTACTGAAAGCTGAGATAGTTCAGCCCTGATCAGCCAGCTAACTTTAATGTGAGTACTGGTCTTTGATCCTCAGCTGTAACTTGTGAGCTGGCAGTTGCTCATGCTGTGACAAATATTTTAAACATATGGGAGCTTTTTATCGTAACTTAAACCACTGGATTATTTCCTTGGTGCTTTCTAACCATTGTTAATGAATTTGAATTAAAAAATGTAATGCTAACTATTCAAATCTGACATCCTCTATAGATAGTATGGTTACCTGAGAAGCAGGAACTCAGTAGCTTAGCAGGGAGATATTAAGACCACAGTTAGAGATACTGATGCTTGGGATCACAAAGAAAGGCCTTCTTATGGCTTCTCATGCTCTTGATAAAGTTAGAAATTACTGTGATTTTGCTTGCAGAGACTGGAACTCCTGGAGAAGCTCCAGCTGGTGAAAGTTGGGGCTTCTCTGCCTTGCTTTGGGAGTGATGTAGAAATGCAAAGACAAGAGAGCCTTATCTTTGGTCTGCCTTGCTTGACAGATTTAGGTAGAGGAACAGTGAACTTGGCATGGGAGATATAATTACTGTGTTCTCCATGAGTGGAATAGAAAGAAAACAGTTTTTACTTAACTGATCCTGTTAGAGCCTGAGAAGAGGTAGCCATGAGTCTCTTTGTAACAGTTAACTTAATACACTCAGCCAACAATGCACCTTGCAGTCTCAATGCAGACCAATTAAACCAAACCAGTGCCAGGAAAAATGTGTGCCAGCTGTCTGATGGCCCTGCAACGTTGCCATCTTGAGGGTTTTGCTGAAGAGCTTTGTTTCCTCCAGAACTATGGAGGATGCCCCACTAGGCTACCTGTTGAGTGCTGAATCAAATCCTTGCCTTTAGGAAGGTTGGTTATTAAATTCCTGGCACTTGCATCATATCAGGAGGCCTTGAGCTGAATGCAGTAATAATTTCTCTCTGTCTTGCACTGTGGGGCTCTGGGAGGGTGGTGGGGAGCCAATCCACAAACCCATCAGGTTGCCTTTGTTTCCTAGATGACTTAAGATGCAAAACACTGTGCAGGCATGGCTGATTTCTGTTTAAATTCAAGGTCTGGGGCTGGATTTAATAGTCTAGGGCTGACTAGAAGATTTTTCAGCTGGCTGAAAGGAAAAGCATGTCTTAGGCTGTAAGATATGCTACTGAATTTTGTCTTTCAGACTCTACCTTTCCAGGAATGAGCTGGATAACCCTCACAAGTCTAAAACATGGAAAATCTATAGTGAGACATTTGCTGTGGAGGTGAACTTTATTGATGCATAAGGGAAATCTGAAAGAAGGAAAACATGTAAAATTCATCTCTTTCCTGGAGAATGTCTTGCTGTTTCAGTATAAAGTGAAGCAGTGTCACTTGGATGTATCTACACAGAAACACACTAAGTACAACTTCTCAAATAAAGCTACATGAAGTTCTGTTGCACGGGGCCAAAACACTCTGAAGAGTTACTTAATGTCAGTTGACTTTCACATGATGGGCTGTTGGATTCCTGGAGCTTAGATATCTCTGCATACAGCTAATTCTTGTTAGAGTAATCAAAAACAATTACTTGTCTTTAAGCATAAGCATTACCATGATGGTTGAAGACCAGCAGTTTGCATGAGACTGGAAAAACCTGACACGATTCCCTCAGCATTGGGGTTTTCCACTAATCAGTAGAATATGGGAATTTTGAAGGAGAAATATTAATCTCCCTCTGTTGGATTGTTGCATCTTGAGCAGAAGCCTTGGTATTGAGCTGCTCTTCATCAGTAATCAGTGATGTAGTGCTTTGAGCAACACCTGGCCTGGGAGCTGCCTGTGGAGGCTGGAGACTGCACAGCTGCTTTTCTACTGCTGTACCTCCCCACAAAGGGCTGCAATGGCCACTTGCCCTAAGGCTTAAGACTGGCTCTCATCAGCTCCTGAGCATTCCAGCTGTCTGGGATCAGTTAGTGTGGTTGCCTCAATGCCTGCATATGAAGGTGATCTGTGCACCTGCTCATTTGAGCAAATAGTGCAAATGCTCACTGGCTCCTCTTGAGTTGTACTAAGACCTGTAGTGCACAAACTTCCGGGATGCTTATTCTACTTCCAACTATTTTCAGCAGTGCAGCTCTTCTGTGGAGACTGTACCTTCATTTGTGTGAAATGTGTTGAGGTGTTAGCTTCTTAGTTCTGCTGCTTCATTAGTCTTTTTGTTCCTGGGAACCAAAAAGTGGAAGGGAAATGACATAGCTTTCCAGTTAATGAAATAAGCAGAGGTCACATACCTCCCTGTGCTCACTTGAAGGTAGTTATGTATTATGAAGTATATCATGTGTGGGCTCAGCTTCTGCTATTGCTATGTATTACCTCATTGTCCACATGAATGTGCCTAGGGGCTAAAAAAGGATGCACTTCATTGCAGCTCCAAGCCAAGTTCATTTTGGCTTAGCTCAGGCATTTGGATATCTGTCCACTGTCCGAGGATGCCCTTTCATATAGTTGGCAGGGCACCTAAGGTGACCCATCTTCCTGCTTAGGGACTAAGCCAGTTTGCTCAGATAGCAGCAGCAGAGGCTGTAGCAGCAAGTGAGATTTTCCTAGTTGAAGAACACGCAGTTAAGTAAAAACTAATGTGAAAGCAGCAATGAGGAACAAAATAGCTGTACAAGGGATATACTATGTTTCTCTTGAGAGATCCAGGCACCACTGCTCAGAAAAGGGTAACAATAGGCCCTGCCTCCCTGCTGCACTGACCTTCACAGGGTAGTGGATATTTGTCCCTTATATTTGTGGAATTTAGGTGACCTGTGCTGGACTCCTGGCATTCTTCTGACAGAGAACCTTACAGCCTGTATCACGATAATCTAGCAACTTGAAATTTGAGGTGAACATTAATCCTACAACTGACTGTGGTACTAACAAAGCAACAGGCCAAGTGCTGAACTATGGGTTTCATTTTCCATAGATGTAAAATCAGCAGGTTTTTTACAGCACCTTACTCTAGCTGCCCCCTTTCCTCTCAGTTTTGAGAGCTTTATATATTCATTGATTGTATGAAGTCTTTTTCTTTCATTCCAGAAAGGTGGTGATGCTGAATTCAACCTTTTTGTTTCTCAGCTAGATGAGCTTGTTAAATAGCATAAACAATCATCAAGTACTCAGTTAATCAAATGAAACTTTATTTCTGTGAATTCTTATACCAATGTCATGAAGTTTTTAGCTGAACAACTGATACATGTGTACAGCTTAAGCAGCTCTGAATGGAAAAATTACTGCTTACATCAACTTCAGAAGGTAAACTCTCAAAAATGCCACTAGCTTCTTGCTGTAGGTTGTTTTAAATACCCTGCTTCTCTTGAAGCTTCAATTTTTGTATTAAAAACTGCAACCATGAGCTTTAAAAAATGAAAGCAAAGACAAATCTAAGAAATAGATTGAAGTATTTCACTGAGGTGGAGTCTGTCCTCACCTTTTCATAACTATTAGAAACATGTACAAATATACTATTTATCTTAGCTAGACAACTTTGAAAAGAAGGGGAAGTCTAACAACTCTTAAAGCCTCATCCTCCTGCCTGAATCATTTAAACATTTGGTATAAATTCCTTTTAAAGTACTGGCAATTCAGAGTAGTGCTGCCCCTGTTGTACCAGTCAGTCAGGCTGTATTGGTGCAATAGACACTGAAGAATCTTCAGCCATACCCTGCTTTAACTGCCTTTTCTCATGGTATATGAAAGGGAGATGAATTGTTCTTTCTGCACTTGGAGGCTGGAGGAGCAAGATTTTGTGGAACTAGAGCAACCACCTTCCATCAAAGAGGCTGCAATGATGTGAGGAATGAGCCAGTTTAAGTGCACCCTGGCTCCACTGCAAGAGGCAGCAGGTATTGACAGGATTTCATCTATGCCTAAAGCTTGTTCCTATTTCTGGGATCTGAAAGGGAAGCTGTAACATGCAAAACTAGGTTGTTCCAGCTCTGTCTCTGACAAATGTGGTTGCTGTGACAAGCTGCTAATCTCCATGTCGCTGTGATGATGTCAGTGAGTTAAAGGGCTCTGTCTGTGCCCCCCACTGCCCCCACACTGGTGGGCTGCAGTTAGAGCACCCAGGCAACATCTCTGTACAACTCAGGACAAGTTTGTGCTGTTCTAAGACCTGCATGACTTATTCCAGGATAAGGCAGTAGCTGCTTCTTACAAATCAGAACATGTTTGAAGAAAGAGCATTCCACTTGAAGAACAAAAGGGGCATCTGGAAAGAGGTGTCACTGCCTCATTTTGGGTACTACTGACTAACTGCATGTTTAATCAAATAACATGACCAAGCAGGCTGTGCCCTCCAGGCCTGAAGGTGATACAAGCTATCCAATCATATGAGCTCTTTCCACTCAGCTGAAGAGGCACAGCAAGTGGCAGGACTCCAGCCCCAGTAAGACTGCTATGTCAGAGACCATGGTGTCAGTTAACAACTCACTTCTGGCTTTCTGTTCCTCTTCAGCTTCCTGTCCTTCCAGCATGTGGCCTTATTTATGCCAAGGTGATCTAAATGGGAGCCTGCACAAAGTTACAATTCCATACTCAGAGGCAGCAGGTATTTTCAGCAGTGTCCCTTTCATTAAGTGGTGCTTAGCATACTCCAGCATTTCTTGAAAGGATTTAGGAAACAATGCAATGCAGTATAGCCTCCTTAATGTTGTTACTGTGCTTCTTTTATCAAAAATGTAGGCATATCTTGGGCTCTGAGTCTCATATAAGGTAAGGGGTGAATGTTTCCTACTTTTATAAACCCATTCACTAGGACAGAGTATGTAAGTCAGACACCCTCTTCCATGACCTTAGCAAGTCACAGAACAGCAGGGAGCCAGAGCAGAACAGGGATGTAGCTGGAAAATGAAAGGTCTCCCTGGGTGAGGGATATGTCCAAGTCATCTATACTCAACAAGATTAGACAAGAACTGATGTTATTTTGAGTCAGACATCAACAACTGCAAAAAGTCACAATTGCAGCACAGTTGATGTAGACAACTCAGAACCTACTCTTGCATGTTTCATTAAACCCCACAGGTCAATGTAAATATTTTTAGCACCAGTACAGGTCAGGAAAGACATTTATGACATGCAGTGTACCTCGTGCAGAATCTGTAAGAGGGAGATAGTTCTGCTTGTGCAATTCAAGCAACATATACACACCTCCATAAAATCACCTGATTTTAAAAGATTACAAATCTTAAACTGGAGTTGAGTTCCTAAAATTAGGTTGCTGATTTGGTTCTGCTCAGACCATCATGTGATCTATGTGTTTTTCATCATTTATTTAAATGACCCTTGAACAATCTCTTGTTCTTCATCTGCCAGGCAGTATCAGTAAGAATCTATTTGTTTCATCAGAAGTTTCCTGCTGTACTCGTAGGCAAGGAACAGCGCCCCGTTGGCCACAAATGCACGGATCATAGTTGGTGTTAGTCCAGAATACAAGGCAAGCACACCTGGAAATGAAACCAGAGCAGTTAGCCATTTATTGAAGTGGCTGTCTGCATCAACCCCTCTGCTCTTACCTGTGAAGGGTACTGAAGCAATGCTTCTGCTTAGAGGAGCATGAACACAGAGAGCTGAACTCACTGCTGTAGCTACTGATTGCAGTGGTACTGGATATTGATATGGGAGTATCTAATGTTGTAACAGGAGTTTAGCCATGTAAGGGCTTATGCTAGATGCTTATTTCAGGTATGACAAGGTCTTGGCCAGCTGAGATAACGTGACAGTGGTTGTACCACAGCTGGCAAGGGGGCAGCAAGACTATGTTAGAGCAAGGTCAGACTCCAGTTCTGATGAGTATCCTACCTAGCAGTGAGGCCAGGATTCATCTCTGCTGCCATGTATATTCTCTCATGTATATTCACTCTCTTCCAAAGTGCCTAACACAGGCCTTTTCCAGAGAGGAAATGCTGAGGTAGATGCCTCAAGTTGCCAGGCTAGATAGGGCTGTTTGATAAATCAATCCTCAACCATATATTATCTTCTAGAGGTGAAGAAAACTTCTGCATGGAACTTACCTAGTCCCTTCAGTTTTCATGTATAGATTTGGTCACAAGTAATAGAGCCCATTTCTTTATCTGCTTTTAATGCATAGTAAGCTTCTGTTAGGTTTAAGTGAATCATCTCCTGAACCAAGAGGCAGGGAAGATGAAGTAGGTCTCAGTTTCTAGATTCCAAGCTTTCCATACTACATGAGGTAGATATTCAGTTGGTCTGCTTGGATACTCACCCTCAGTTCTCACAAGAGTTACAAATGTTCCCATAAAGCCTGCTTGTTTTCCAGCCATTGAAAGAACCTGAATTCTAGATTTGACACAGTCCACAGGATACACAGCAATCCACAGACAGCTGCCTCCAAAACCTCCACTTAGTAACAAAGGGATGGGACCTAAAAGTTAGGAGATACATTTTTATACACCACAATATTCACTAACACAAATTTAATAGTATTTCATCTACAGGATTTAAAGGGAACAGAGGAAGCTGCTTATGACAAAAGAGCAGTTGCTGTTCTCTCATTAACCTTTAAGTCAATTTCAAGCCACTGGTAAATTGCAAGTCAACTAGAGACTCAAAGATTATAAAGAGTGCCTCTTAGTTTACTGGCAGTGTTTAAAAAAACTATAACTCAGAATTCAATTTTGATTCTATTAACTAAATTCACTTTTTAAACACTTGTAATCACTTTCCAAGGTTAATTGTGAAATGGTTTAGAGAAACATCATATAGTGTTGCTAATCATATATAGAGAATTTGGTAGAGTTATTTTGTAATCAGTCATTTCTTTCATGATGGACTCTGATTTTGTATTTCTGATCAGATGTTTGTAAACGTTTTGTTACATGTCTAAAATGCACGCAGCTGAAATCCTAACTCCAAGCAAGACTGGTTCAGTTAACAGGAGACAGGCAGTCTTTATTCTGGCATCATCATGGTTTTTTCCCTTCTAATTTTCAATCTCAGTGTTCTCTTACTATCATTGTAACTACATCTAATGGTTAGCATGCAGTTCAGCATATACTTGAATACACTGTTCAAGAGAATGCAGCTAAATACTTCAAAATCACTCTGAATGGCAGCTGAAATGAAATAGTTCGGAGTTATGTTACACTGTGGGGTCAGATATTTCAGCAGTTTTGAAGTGTTAGCTCACTGTGTTATTTCTCTATTTATGATACATCCTGCTTCATTGGAAAATGGTCACTTCAATAATTTATTACTGTGTGTATATAAGATGCAGCCCTCCATATTTAGTATGCCTCATTTCCTTCATTTGTGTGTATTTTACAACATTATTAGTATATCTTCAGAGAAGATATGCCCCCCTTTATGTCCCCCATGACAGCATGCTAAAACCCACCTGTTAAAAGGCACCATACCTAATTCATCTTTTGATCTCCCAGAGGCAAAGAATGTCCGGCTCAGTTCATACCCTCCAAAGAAGAAGAAATAGCCTGGGACTTCCCGCAGCAAAGTGCTTGACAGGCCACGATAAAATCCAAGGGGACCATCCTTTTGGATAACACCCTTCACTACTGACCAAACTGTACTGAGAGAGGTTGGCCCAGTT